ATTAATACCCATATGATTACTACCTATATGTGTGGAGACCATCATACTTCAACCCATGCTCTTTCATACATGGGTGCATAATACAGCAGATTTGACAACTACCAGCAGACCTAACAATGCCAATAAAAATAAGTCTTGCTACTAAACTACAGGATTGTGATTTACTGAGTATTACAGGTCCAGAAATGATATAATTTGCTAAGCTCATTTGTCTGTGCAGAGCATCCCTCCCCTGATTTCTGTACTGCATTTATCTTGTCATTAAATAATCTGATGATAGTTCCTTCCTGTTCTTTCTTAGATCCAAGTTGGGAAATTCAATCAAACAATTGCTATGTTGCACCTTGGAGGAAGCGAGACGGCTATCACTGTTTCCATTGTCATCTGTAGTATCTTACTTCTGCTCTCAGTCGTAGGTAAGAGGCAAAGTCTTACTTTTCGTTGATGGCTTCCTATAAGCAAGCATTTTCTAAACACAAGAGATTCCAAAGATTTAGTTATATAATCCTCTTTTCAGCTAGAAATAAATACTGTATAAGCTTTCAAAATGAATATTTCCATAGTTTGAAAGTTGGACTCAAGAAGATTACTGTCTATAATACTGAAATGGAACAAAGCTAAACACCGAAAAACAAAGAATGAAGCAGAACCAGTCTTAGGTATTTTGGTGCTCTGGCAAAGTATTGGACTTATGATTTTTTCTTCTTCCTCCATGTAGCTCTGAAACCTGGGAGTCCATTTGAGCAATCCCAATTCTAGCAAGTTTACTGCACAAGCCTAATAAAAATGTCTGATTTCTTGTTGTACTAAAAATTAGTATAGTAACAGGGTCTACAAGAGCTTAGACTGTGTTCTCAGAGTAACTAAAGTACAGTGGTGCCTCGCACAACGAGTGCACCGTAGAACAATGAATCCGCACAACGGGGCCGTTCTAGCGATCGCAAATGCGATCGCACACCGACGGCCCCTATGGCTCAAAATCGCAGAGCGAAGGTCGGTAAGTGGTTCGCTTACTGACCTTTGCTTTGCGCCCTGCTGATCAGCTGTTCGGCGGCTTCAAAATGGCTGCCGGAAGCCCCAAAATGGCCGCGCGCAGCGTTTTTGCGCCCTCGTTAAGTGAGGGGAGGGCGCGAAAATGGCTGCCGGCCATCGGAGAAACATCGCTGTACGGTGAGTAAAGCTGCTATTGGAACGCATTAAACTAAGTTTAATGCGTTCCAGTGGCTTTTTTTGATCCGTACAGTGATGTTTTCACACAGTGAGGGTTAATCCAGAACTGATTAACCTCGCTGTGCGAGGCACCACTGTACTCTGGGAACATAGGGTTTGGCTAAAGTCACCGGTGCAATTCATATGTAACATTAAAGCAGGACTATGTGACTTCTTGGGATGAGAAGGACTCCCTCTTGCCATAGTGACTGCCAACATTCGGTGAAATTTGCAGCTGGTCTCTCACATCAGAAGATGATAGTGTATCCTTCTGTTCCGCTGAGCAGTGTGTCACAGGTTTCTACTGGAGAAAAGGAAGGGTGATACAGTACAAGTATGTCTTTTGACAGTTCTCTCCAGAAAGGTGGATGACAGGGATACAGCTAGGACTGTCTTCATGCACACTTGCATGCCCTTATTTGAGATCCTTACCAGATGTTCTGATTTCCCCTCTCAAGGTAGGCTCTAGGGAGTTGCAAAGGGTAGCCATTAGGGAGAAGATAGGTTTAAGGACAGTGTAATGATAATAAACTAAGAAAACAAAAGGAAGCATCTGATATTACTGACTTCATAATTATCCACACACCTCATTACTCTGTGCTTATTTGGTAATGTAAGTTGGACGGACGGACGGACGGACGGACGGACGGACGGACGGACGGACGGACGGACGGACGGACGGACGGACGGACGGACGGACGGACGGACGGACGGACGGACGGACGGACGGACGGACGGACGGACGGACGGACGGACGGACGGACGGACGGACGGACGGACGGACGGACGGACGGACGGACGGACGGACGGACGGACGGACGGACGGACGGACGGACGGACGGACAGACAGACAGACAGACAGACAGACAGACAGACAGACAGACAGACAGACAGACAGACAGACAGACAGACAGACAGACACACAGACAGACAGATAGATAGATAGATAGATAGATAGATAGATAGATAGATAGATAGATAGATAGATAGATAGATAGATAGATAGATAGATAGATAGATAGATAGATAGATGACACTCACAGATATGCTGCCATCCATGCAAACATTTTTATTTGACATCCAAAACAGAGTTCCTCAAGTATTACAATAAGATCTGCTTTTCTGCTCAGGAAAATTGAACCTTCTTGATCCTCTAGGAATATTCCCATTCCAGTTGGTTCATGGATAGCAGTTCTCACTGCTGCAAGGAACAACTTTTGCTCCCTTTCTAAATAAATAATATTAAAGCCAGTGCTGTTTCAGTTATTAAACTGCATAACTATCTCTGTCATGACTTTTTACTCTTTTGGATTTGTGCCCCTTCCCCCCCCCATCTATTTCTCCAGCCCTTTTTGTGTTTTGCACCAAGAGCCGCAGAGCAGAGCGTTACTGGCAGAAAACTCTGTTGCAGATGGAAGAGATGGAATCCCAGATTCGGGAAGAAATACGCAAAGGTAAATAGCTGTGCTTTGACTCTTTGGAATTAGTGACCATAGGCAGCAAATATTTTTTTCCTTCTGTCACACTCTGGAGAAGTTTGCAATCCTGAGATGCCCTTCAGAGTTATTCTTATAGAGAGGAGCCTTGTGGCACAGTGGTTAAACTGCTGTACTGCAGCTAAAACTGTGCTTACATCCAGGGGTTCAATCCCAGGTAGCGGGCTCAAGGTTCACTCAGCCTTTTATCCTTCCGAGGTCAGTAAAATGAGTACCCAGCTTGCTGGGGGGGGGGAGTCTGTAGCCTGCATTATTAACTTTTAAGTCGCCCAGAGAGTGCTTGAAGCGCTATGGGGCGGTAAATAAGCAGCACGCTTTGCTCTTTTGCTTTTAACAATGCCCCCAAACAGCGCTGTCCATGACTCTAAACCCTGGGACTGAGATCAAATCTCTTAGGAATTGCAAAATGGTATTGGTGTTGTGTTGTTAAGAAAAGGGAAGTTGAAGCCTTGAACTGTGACTTAAATTCCAGTTTGATGAAATTTGCGAATGAATGCTCTAACCCAGTGGGCTAACCTCAGCCTGCTGGATTAAAGTCAGGAAAGTTAATTAAAGGTTGCCTCATGGAGTTGCAAGAAAATTCAAGCTTCTACTTTAGTGACATTGTGAGTTATAAAGTGATGAGCAAGGCGCACTAGGTCTGCTCCTGTCTGTGGCCTCCATCTCCCCTTACAGTATAATCTTACTAAAGCTATAACTTGATGGCTGAGAGAAAGCTTTGGATTTTCATCTCTTATCTAACAAATAGGTTTTGATGATGCTTTAGGATCAACTGATCCCAAGCTTAACACATTATTTCATCTAGAAACTAATTGGGGGGGGGGGAGGAAATGACTTATAAAGTTTTAGCCCATAAGCTTTCACAAAATTCACAACTATTTTATCCTGAAAAACTTAGGATGAAGCATTCATTTAAAAAAGGAGGTAGGCGTACTGCTATACTGCTGTGACATAAAAGAACAGTGTATGTGTTAATTAACATGAAAGTCACTGTTGTACTTCTGGTTTCTTGGAATAAGGTTTTGCTGAACTTCAGACAGATATGACAGACCTGACGAAGGAGTTGAATCGCAGCCAAGGGATTCCATTCCTGGAATATAAGTACTTTGTGACTCGGACTTTCTTTCCCAAAGTAAGGAGGTGTGGCAAACTGTGGAGACCTAATGGTATCTGGTTTCTCCTAGCTGTACACTTGCCGTTCTATTTTTCCTTTGCCTTTTTTTTTTTTTGCTTCATATTTATAGTGTAATTTAGACATTTTTCCAATAATTTTGAAGCAAGACATTAAACAAGCCTGCAAAAGCCATCCTCCATCATCTTCTCTGACGTATTTATTTATTTATTTATTTATGGACATCTAAAGGGAAATGATCCATGAGAAAAACAGGGCTACATGATTAGGGAAGATGGAACTGAAACGGTACCTGCGTCCAAAGTAGTAACAGACTTAGGTTCAAGCATGCTTTCACTTTGGGTCGTGTGCTTTTTCTTAGGTGTTCAGTAGGAAGACAGTTGTTCTTGCACTAATTCAGAAACTCTGTAACAGAAGACAGCTTCATATTCAAACATTTGCTAAGTCAAATCATATCTGGACACTATATCCAACGATGCCTACTTTCAGATCTACATGTCCCAGATCCATGAATATAATAACAGAGCTGCTTTATTTCCATTTTGTTTATGGTTTTTTAAGATTACATCAAACACACTGTATGGATTTGCTTGTTTTTATTTTTATTTTTTTGCATTAATCTATTGGTTTAATTGCACCACTGCATCATTGAACCAGCTGTGATTCACTGATATAGGAGAGAAGTGTTTTTCATGTTTGCTTTCCTTCCTTCCTTCCTTCCTTCCTTCCTTTTTGTTTAGATATTCCATTAACTTAGTTTTTGTCAAGAATATGTCAATGCACAATGGTAGACTCTGTACTCCATGCATCCGCTATATATGGCAAATAGCACAAAAATACAGACCAGAGTCCTGTTACCAGTTTATGCTTCTCTAAGGCAAACTGCATAGGTTTTGATGACAAATTGCTGTTCATTATTTAGCTGCTGGTTGTATTTTAGGGCAGAAGCCCCATTGCTTTATCGGCTCCACCCCAAAATGCAGCAATTTGGAGCCTAGGCTTGCATGATTTCCCACATGAAAGCACACAGAATAGGGTTTTCACCAAAGATTCTGGTAATATGAGCTTTTATTTTTTATAAAGGAAATACCTAGCTCTTTCACTTGTGGCAAAACAGTAAACTTCATGCATGACGTCTGGCTTTAAAAACCCAAACTGGGGTTGGAAATTGTTTCCAATAGTCATAGATTTTAGCAGAGCTTTTATATCTTGAAAGCTCCCTGTGTTTTGCCTGTGATTCCTGCCCCCTAGATCTTACCTTTCTTATTCCAAGCACCTGTGCCATCTATTTAGCATTTACAATGCTTCCATATACTTCTTAGTACACATGAATTTTAGAACCAGAATAATGGAAGAATGTATAAAAATGACATGCAACTTTGTTCTTCTCAGATGTATTCTGGGAGCAAAATTTGCATTTTCTTGAAGGTAACACAAAATCTTTGGCAGCTGTGAAACAATAAGGGAAAGAAAAAGTTTTCCACTTTTGCCTTAGAAGAGTGAAATACACAAACATCTGTAAGCTAGTGATTGTGGTTTAGTCTTGAATAATCCTATATTTACAGGAGAATCATGGATGACAGATCGGCCAGTTCATAAACTCGATACTATGAATGCCTTGTTTTTTTCTGGTTCATTCATTTTGCAAAATTCTTTTATTTGTTCATTCAGAAGCCTCTTGCTAAGAGTGTAAAGCCTCCACAAAATATTGCTTCTTACTTGTAACTGGTCTCGAGTCCTTTTGACACCTCTTCTTACTATTCTTTAACAAAAATGCTTCCTTGGCATGGTACTTGAAGACATAAAGAAGTCAGTCATGCCTCCTTTTGCCAAATAACAAAACATGCTTTGATTTTTTTCTCTCTGTGTGTTGTTTCAGTGTTCTTCACTCTATGAGGAGCGTTACATTCTGCCTTCCCAGCAGCTCAATTCCCAGATGGGGTCACAGGTCCAAGAAACTCACCCATTGTTGTTGGGGGAATGGAAGGTAAACAACTCTTTGGTAAATCCAGTTAAGAAGGCAGTTGCAGCGTTGTTCGGGTAATACTTTATTGTATTAGTTAAGGAATGCATCAGAAGTAAGGCAGTTCCATACTGATGGAAAGAAGGCACTAGTCTGAGAAAGTTTGGCTCCATGGCAGTAAAAATGATTAGCTAAATTTCCTTAAAATAAGTAAAGAACTAGTAACTGCTGTGTGTTGAAATGGGCTGTTAGATAGACATTGCTTCATTCAGTCTTCAGTTTGCAACTCAAGATGTCATGTATTTATCACATTTAGTACCAGTAATTTATTTTTTATTCTGTAAGCCAAGGATCTTTGTTCATAATGTCTAGAGACATTGTTTTCAGTAGAAGAGCTGGACCTCTCTTAGGAATAAATTGCTGCTACTATCATTGTATTAGATACCAGAGCTTGGAAGATAGCTAGAAAAGAGAAGGAAACTGTTGCATACATCATTGCTTTGACCACTAAACTGGCCATGAGCTTTGTCATTACATGCTACGCTGGAGTAATGCATTATGTTACACATTTTGCATGTTTTGCCATATAGTGTCCTTAAACGTCTTTGAGGTTAATCTCCCTTTGAACTATTTTTTCTTTCTGTTTTAAAAAACTTAGTTCTTTCTCTTTTTCAAAAAACAAAATGCAAACCACAAGGTGACACACATGATTTATCTCAGTGAATGTTAAGTGCTCCAGAAGAACTCTAGAAAAATGATGTAATTTCCCCAGAATTCTCTGTAAAGTTATAGTGAAAGGCTGTGGTTTCACAGAAGTGTTCTAACAACACTACAAATCAATGAAGTACTCGGTGAAGTCACATCATTAATACTTCCAGGAGGCCTCCCAGAGTCCTTGCAGTTGATCATATAAGCCAGGTGTGTCTCTGTGTGGTCTTTATTTTTTGTTTTTTACGGTTTTTAAAATAAAGAGAAAATTAAATAGACATTCTAAAAAAAATGGAAGCTCAGTTTGGTTTGGGGTGGGGGAAGAGTAGAATAAATAATATATAAAACCTTTTCTTGTCACTGAAGAAAGAAATCTTCATGACAGTCATTAGTTTGGGAGCTGGAGGAAGAGCACTGGGGTTGGTGGAGACCATCTCCAGTATCACATTCCCAGATACAGTGGTGCCTCACTTAACGATGTTAATTGGTTCCATAAAACAATCGTTATGTGAAAACATTGTTAAGTGAAACACCATTTCCCATAGGAATGCATTGAAAACCAGTTAATCCGTTCCAATTGGAACAGATTAATAGGTTGGTGGAGACCAACATAAAGATCCATCTCCAGTATCACATTCCCAGATACTATGCATATGTTTGAAAGCTGGAAAAAGAAAAAAACTGATGGGGTGGGGGTGGGGAAATAGTTTATTCAGAATAGAGTGCTAGAGAACAACAGCCACAGGCTGCTAAAAAGACAAATAAATGGGTTGTAGATCCAATCCAAAACTCTTTAATCTCTCTAGATTGAGAGCGAAGACCAAAGTCCAGCTGAAATGCATGCGGGACTTCCTCTTCGCAGATGATGGAGCTGTTGTTGCCTATTCTGCCGAAGACCTCCAACAATTTATGAATCGTTTTAGTAAGGCTTGCCAAGATTTTGGATTAAAATCAGTCTGAAGAAAACACAAGTCATGGGCCAGGGTGTGGACTCACCTCCCTCTGTTACCATCTCTATACAAGAATTGGAGGTTGTTCATGATTTCGTGTACCTTGGCTCAATGATCTCTGACACTCTCTTTCTAGATGTCAAGCTTGATAAACACATTGGCAAAGCAGCTACCATGTTCTCTAGACTCACAAAGAGGGTATGGCTTAACAAGATGTATAAGTTTGAAAGCTGGAAAAAGAAGAAAACTGATGGGGTGGGGGTAGGGAAATAGTTTATTCAGAATAGAGTGCTGGAGAACAACAGCCACAGGCTGCTAAAAAGACAAATAAATGGGTTGTAGATCCAATCCAAAACTCTTTAATCTCTCTAGATTGAGAGCGAAGACCAAAGTCCAGCTGAAATGCATGCGGGACTTCCTCTTCGCAGATGATGGGGCTGTTGTTGCCTATTCTGCCGAAGACCTCCAACAATTTATGAATTGTTTTAGTAAGGCTTGCCAAGATTTTGGATTAAAAATCAGTCTGAAGAAAACACAAGTCATGGGCCAGGGTGTGGACTCACCTCCCTCTGTTACCATCTCTATACAAGAATTGGAGGTTGTTCATGATTTCGTGTACCTTGGCTCAATGATCTCTGACACTCTCTTTCTAGATGTCAAGCTTGATAAACACATTGGCAAAGCAGCTACCATGTTCTCTAGACTCACAAAGAGGGTATGGCTTAACAAGAAGCTGACGGCATATACCAAATCCAGGTCTATAGAGCCTGTGTCCTGAGTACACTCCCGTACTGCAGTGAGCCCGGGACCCTTTGTGCATGGCAGGAGAGGAAGCTGAACACCTTCCATATGTGTTGTTGCCAACACATTTTTGGCATGATCTGGCAGGTCAAAGTTCCAAATAGTGTAGTCCTGGAATGAGCTGGAATTTTTAGCATGTTCAGATTAGGCAAACTTCAGTCTCGAGGGACTATTGTACTGTGTCCTCTTCAGAGCATGAAGCCTGGGTAAAATAATATGGAGGATAGGCTGTTACCCAAGCAGCACTGAAATAGTCCAATGGAAAGGCAAGAGCCAATACAACTGGTTCCAACAATGTCACAGGAGTTGCAAGAACGGCATGAACTGCGTCCAGGACTCCAACTCCGAATTTTGCCTCGAGGTTCATTCCTGAAGCATTTTCCATCAGTGGATATAGCCACAAGGCAGTGGCAGTTTGAAATTGGAATTTTCCTTCTCCTAGATGGGCTGCCTTCCAAGGCTGAGGAGCCACAGCTACCCATGTTAGCATGTATACATTACTGAAACAGTGACATCTATGTTGGCTCAGGCATGTTGTGAGAATGGCTGACAGTCAGGTTCCAAAAGATCTCCTGTATGGAGAATTAGTGCAGGGAAAGCGCCTCAGAAGGAGACCACAGCTGTGATACAAGGATATCTGCAAGCAGGATCTGAAGGCCTTAGGAATGGACCTCAACAGATGGGAAACCCTGATTTCTGAGTGTTCAGCCTGGAGGCAGGCAGTGCTTCATGGCCTCTCCCATTTTGAAGAGACACTTGTCCAGCAGTCTGAGGCAAAGAAGCAGACCTGAAACCAGCCAAATCAGGAATCTGGACAGGGGACAGATTGTATTTGTAACCAGTGTGGAAGGGATTGTCACTCTGAGAATTGGCCTTCTCAGCCACACTAGATGCTGTTCCAAGACCTCTATTCAGAGCACGTTACCATAGTCTCTCAAGATTGAAGAATGCCTACTAGATTCAATCACACCTGAACTCCCATTAGATTCTAAAAGGAATAAACTGAAACTGTTGAACTTTGGCCATATCATAAAATGACAAAAGACTCCCTGGAAAAGACATCAGTACTAGCAAAAATAGAAGGTAGTAGGGAAAGAAGTAAACCTAACATGGGATAGATTAATGCAATAAAAGAAAACCAGGGCTTTCAGTTTGCAAGACCTAAGCAGGCCTGTTAATGATAGGTCCTTTTGGAGGGAATTAATTTCTAGCGATATCAGAAGTTACAAGTGCCTTAATAGCTGCGAGCACCAAAAAAGAAATATTTCCAGGTACCAAATTACTTTGCAACACTTTCCCCTTCAAGCTCTGTCAGATATAATTGAAAGTATTCTGCCCCAGCAGAAAATTCTTCTGCTGTTAAATTTCTTTCAGGAAGAAGGAAAAGAATACTATGCGCACAGCTGAGCAGTGGTCATTGTTTAGTCGTGTCCGACTCTTCATGGACTCTCCAGAGTCTCCTCTAGCAACACAATTCAAAGGCATCAATTCTTCGGTGGTCAGCTTTCTTTATGGTCCAGCTCTCACTTCCATACATCACTACAGGAAAAATCGTAGCTTTGACTTTTCCAAGGAGTCTTCTCTTCTCAAGAGATGGCCAAAGTATTGGAGCCTCAGCTTCAGGATCTGTCCTTCCAGTGAACATTCAGGGTTGATTTCCTTCAAAATGGATAGGTTTGTTCTCCTTGCAGTCCAGGGGACTCTCCAGAGTCTCCTCTAGCAACACAATTCAAAGGCATCAATTCTTCGGTGGTCAGCTTTCTTTATGGTCCAGCTCTCACTTCCATACATCACTACAGGAAAAATCGTAGCTTTGACTTTTCCAAGGAGTCTTCTCTTCTCAAGAGATGGCCAAAGTATTGGAGCCTCAGCTTCAGGATCTGTCCTTCCAGTGAACATTCAGGGTTGATTTCCTTCAAAATGGATAGGTTTGTTCTCCTTGCAGTCCAGGGGACTCTCCAGAGTCTCCTCTAGCAACACAATTCAAAGGCATCAATTCTTCGGTGGTCAGCTTTCTTTATGGTCCAGCTCTCACTTCCATACATCACTACAGGAAAAATCGTAGCTTTGACTTTTCCAAGGAGTCTTCTCTTCTCAAGAGATGGCCAAAGTATTGGAGCCTCAGCTTCAGGATCTGTCCTTCCAGTGAACATTCAGGGTTGATTTCCTTCAAAATGGATAGGTTTGTTCTCCTTGCAGTCCAGGGGACTCTCCAGAGTCTCCTCTAGCAACACAATTCAAAGGCATCAATTCTTCGGTGGTCAGCTTTCTTTATGGTCCAGCTCTCACTTCCATACATCACTACAGGAAAAATCGTAGCTTTGACTTTTCCAAGGAGTCTTCTCTTCTCAAGAGATGGCCAAAGTATTGGAGCCTCAGCTTCAGGATCTGTCCTTCCAGTGAACATTCAGGGTTGATTTCCTTCAAAATGGATAGGTTTGTTCTCCTTGCAGTCCAGGGGACTCTCCAGAGTCTCCTCTAGCAACACAATTCAAAGGCATCAATTCTTCGGTGGTCAGCTTTCTTTATGGTCCAGCTCTCACTTCCATACATCACTACAGGAAAAATCGTAGCTTTGACTTTTCCAAGGAGTCTTCTCTTCTCAAGAGATGGCCAAAGTATTGGAGCCTCAGCTTCAGGATCTGTCCTTCCAGTGAACATTCAGGGTTGATTTCCTTCAAAATGGATAGGTTTGTTCTCCTTGCAGTCCAGGGGACTCTCCAGAGTCTCCTCTAGCAACACAATTCAAAGGCATCAATTCTTCGGTGGTCAGCTTTCTTTATGGTCCAGCTCTCACTTCCATACATCACTACAGGAAAAATCGTAGCTTTGACTTTTCCAAGGAGTCTTCTCTTCTCAAGAGATGGCCAAAGTATTGGAGCCTCAGCTTCAGGATCTGTCCTTCCAGTGAACATTCAGGGTTGATTTCCTTCAAAATGGATAGGTTTGTTCTCCTTGCAGTCCAGGGGACTCTCCAGAGTCTCCTCTAGCAACACAATTCAAAGGCATCAATTCTTCGGTGGTCAGCTTTCTTTATGGTCCAGCTCTCACTTCCATACATCACTACAGGAAAAATCGTAGCTTTGACTTTTCCAAGGAGTCTTCTCTTCTCAAGAGATGGCCAAAGTATTGGAGCCTCAGCTTCAGGATCTGTCCTTCCAGTGAACATTCAGGGTTGATTTCCTTCAAAATGGATAGGTTTGTTCTCCTTGCAGTCCAGGGGACTCTCCAGAGTCTCCTCTAGCAACACAATTCAAAGGCATCAATTCTTCGGTGGTCAGCTTTCTTTATGGTCCAGCTCTCACTTCCATACATCACTACAGGAAAAATCGTAGCTTTGACTTTTCCAAGGAGTCTTCTCTTCTCAAGAGATGGCCAAAGTATTGGAGCCTCAGCTTCAGGATCTGTCCTTCCAGTGAACATTCAGGGTTGATTTCCTTCAAAATGGATAGGTTTGTTCTCCTTGCAGTCCAGGGGACTCTCCAGAGTCTCCTCTAGCAACACAATTCAAAGGCATCAATTCTTCGGTGGTCAGCTTTCTTTATGGTCCAGCTCTCACTTCCATACATCACTACAGGAAAAATCGTAGCTTTGACTTTTCCAAGGAGTCTTCTCTTCTCAAGAGATGGCCAAAGTATTGGAGCCTCAGCTTCAGGATCTGTCCTTCCAGTGAACATTCAGGGTTGATTTCCTTCAAAATGGATAGGTTTGTTCTCCTTGCAGTCCAGGGGACTCTCCAGAGTCTCCTCTAGCAACACAATTCAAAGGCATCAATTCTTCGGTGGTCAGCTTTCTTTATGGTCCAGCTCTCACTTCCATACATCACTACAGGAAAAATCGTAGCTTTGACTTTTCCAAGGAGTCTTCTCTTCTCAAGAGATGGCCAAAGTATTGGAGCCTCAGCTTCAGGATCTGTCCTTCCAGTGAACATTCAGGGTTGATTTCCTTCAAAATGGATAGGTTTGTTCTCCTTGCAGTCCAGGGGACTCTCCAGAGTCTCCTCTAGCAACACAATTCAAAGGCATCAATTCTTCGGTGGTCAGCTTTCTTTATGGTCCAGCTCTCACTTCCATACATCACTACAGGAAATCCTGTCCATTTTAGTTCACTGATGCCCAGGATGTTGATGTTTATTCTTGCCATCTCCTGTTTGACCACCTCCAGCTTCCCAAGGTTCATAGTTCTTACATTCCACGTTTTCCTATGCAGTATTTTTCTTTGCAGCATTGGACTCTCCTTTCACTTCCAGGCACGTCCACAGATGAGCGTCCTTTCGGCTTTGGCCCAACCACTTCATTAGCTGTGGAGCTACTTGTACTTGTCTCCACTCTTCCTCAGTAGCATGCTGGACACCTTTCGACCTGAGGGGCCCATCTTCCAGTGTCATATCTCTTAGCCTTTTGTTTCTGATCATGGGGCATTCTTGGTAAAGATACTGGAATGGCATTGCCATTTCCTACTCCAGGTGGATTGTGTTTAGTCGGAACTCTCCACTATGACCTGTCCATCTTGGGTGGCCCTGCATGGCATAGCCCCTAGCTTCTGTGAGTTACTCAAGCCCCTTCGCCGTGACAAGGCAGCAATCCATGAAGGGGGAGCAGTGGTACTCTGTTGCTATAATGTCACGAGGAAAGACAGATAGACTTGCTTTAAATAGTTGTCACCCTTAGCTTTGGAAAGGTTTGTCCCAGTTCAATCCAGTTGATTGTGGCTTTCTGAAAAGGAAGAGGTTTAACGCAGCAAAGAACTTCTAGTCTGGAGTGGCTTGAGGGTCAAGCATCAGATGAATCAGCCTCAAAGAGGAATGAAATATTTCCCTTTGCTTATATGTGACCAGTATATTAGTGTTTTCAGTGCAATTTCTATTTGTTGCCTGTTTCAATCTGTGTATTGAACAAACTTCTATCTATGACCCATATCTTCAGAGCCTTCTGGAGTGGGAGTGGGATGAGAGGAGAAGGAATGGTAGCCGTAATAATGATAATATCTGCACCTTATTAACCAATGTTCAAAACAAAATACACAATAAAACTAAATTTAGCCTAATATGAAGAGATGAAACCAAGAGCTATGGTCTTATCCAAATTCCTAATTTTGCTTTAGATTCCTGAAAACTGTAGACCCAATATGGAAGAAGGAATTGCCTTGTTCTCCACCTTACTCAACAACAAGCACTTTCTCATCGTCTTTGTCCATGCTCTTGAGCAGCAGAAAGATTTTGCTGTTAGAGACAGGTAAGACAACCTTCGCATTTTAAGACCAGCCCAAAGCTGGCTGCATACTTCTTTTGCCTTAAAACCTGGAAGGACTCTGTATTGTTTTTGAACATCTGAAAATGCTTCTTCCTTGATAAACATAAGTTTTGCTTGATTTTGTCTGAGAAAGTGGTCTCTATTTTTATGAATTGGATATCTGTGCTTATCAGGGATTGAATGCTTCCAGATGCTGTTTAAAAAGCCCTAATCCATCCCATGCTTTAAAGGAAGTAGCTAACCTGCTCAGGTTTTGTAAAGTTTTGTGAGAGAAGTTAGAGACGATAGTAAATGAGTTGTTGATTGTTGCTTCTTGAAATAATGCACAGAGGAAATCTTAGATGAAAGGCCATGGGCCACACTGACCCACTCACTGCTAGGATTTCCAGAATTTGAGAACTTCTGCCATCCATAGAGGTTGTGTGCTTAGGACCTTCCAGTTCCTGAAAGAGTAAGGAAAAGGGAAGTTGTTGCTAAATTACACCTTAGAGACATTGTGATGACTCTGCCAAGCCACACCTCTTAACAGAAGAAGATAAGGGATTTCCTCTTCATATATTTCAAGAAACCCAAAATAAGAGAGCAGGAAAGAATGTTATGTTTGGTCTTCTTGGAGAACAGTTTTCTTTTCACTTCTCTTGACCTATCTCTTTCCCATTATTCTTGAGGCCCCCTAAGTGTCATTTATATCTCTTCCTGTGTCACTACCTTGGTGTTAAGAGTTAATAGGACAATATTAAAGTTCTCTGAAGTGCATTCTGTAAACATCAACAAGAGAAATGATGTTTTCTTTGACTGACAGATGAGAAATGCCCTGGTTTAAAGAAAAGGCAACTAGGAATGTCTAAAGGGGCAAAGAGAGGAACAGAATGAAAATGGCTGCCTGAGAGTTTTATGGCTAGAGTATTACAGACCCGAGAGGGAGTAAGCCTTGCATCTAAGGCTCTGCATATAAAAGAATACCATAGCTACTCAAACACCATGTCTTAATGTTCCTTCCTTTCTTTTTTAAAATTTATGCTGTTTTTCAACTTGCAGGTGTTAACCTTCTCTATTATTACACAAATTGCCAGAATAGGTTTTTTTTTTCCCTTTGAGCGACTGGCATCCATTTCTATCAAAGGGTGGCATAATACAATGTGATTATGCACAGCTGTGATACAAATGGCTTGAAACTTTAACAGTTTTCAGAGGCTTTGTGAAAACAATCTGGAATGTTACCATGGTTTTAATTTCTGTTCATGTTGGTTGATGAATCCCGCCTTGTTCCATCCATCTCACTATCCTTCATTAACTCTTCCTTCAGATGCAACCTAGCCTCTCTGCTTACCATTGCACTGCATGGAAAACTAGAGTACTACACCAGCATTATGAAGGACCTCTTGGTGGATCTCATTGATGCTTCTGCTTCTAAAAACCCTAAGCTTATGCTGAGGAGGACAGAATCTGTGGTTGAGAAGATGCTGACCAACTGGATGTCCATCTGCATGTACAGCTTTCTCAGAGTAAGAAAGTGAAATAAAATTTTAAACTTATGTGGTTGTGGCAGATAACCCAAACATGAATATAGCAGAGATGGGCCCAGAAGGTGTATTTTGAACCACCAACCACCTCCTCTGATATTCCCTAATATCCAGTAAAGGCGAAGCAAGACAAATATTCCCAGCTTCTAATCAAAACTAGAAGATGACACCTACAGTATTTCTGAGTGTCAACTCTTCGTATTCGCGAAGGCTTTCACAGCCGGGATCTAATGGTTGTTGTGGGTTTTTCGGGCTTCTTGGCCGTGTTCTGAAGGTGGTCTTTCCTAACGTTTCGCCAGTCTCTGTGGCCGGCATCTTCAGAGGAGAGCCCGAAAAACCCACAACAACCATGTCAACTCTTCCTTTGGAAATTGTGCTCAAATGATAATACTTCTCCAAGTGTGATTGGCCTAATTGATAAGCACAAAAGAGAGTTAAAATAAAATTGTCAGATAGGTTAACCAGGAGGAGGTTGTTTGATGGTTTTTGCACAGCCTTCTGATAAATTCACTGATCTCTAGTCAACACACTTAAATTTCATTCTTGCTCTGTCTGAGAGTTTTTAGAGACTGGCAGTTCAGAATAAAAACTAAGATACATTGTTCTCTCACGTAATTCTTATGAGAACTCATTGACACAGATCACACTAATGGGATAATAACTAGCCCAGGATGACCCAGTAAACCTCATAACTGAGAAAGGATTTCAGAGTGCTAAATGTGTGTAGAAAAAACTGTTACATAAACGGCTGTAGCAGCCTTGAAACATCATTGAATTTGATATCTGAAAGATAGAAATTCTTTAAGGCTTAACTCCAGCTTTATTGTTAAAAGAGATACTCTGTTTTCCCAAAAATAAGACCTAACCCGAAAATAAGCCCTAGTATGATTTTTCAGGATGCTCATAATATAAGCCCCCCCACAAAATAAGCCCTAGTTAAGAGAAACCCCGCCCTTCACCATTGTGCAGCAAGCAGAAGATGACATGACTGTATTTGAATAAATGTAGATTGTTGTACATGAGAAAATCCAACATCTCTGAAAATAAGCCCTACAACATTTTTTGGAGCAAAAATTAATATAAGACCCTGTCTTACATTCGGGGAAGCACAGTAATACCTCCATATTAAGCAGAACATTGTTCTACTCATATAATACAATAAATATATTATGGGCATATAAAGAAAGGCCCTTTGTGCATAGTACTCTATTACCAAAATTCTTTTTCCTGATCTTAGAAGGATAGAAAACATTTTCTAGGAAAAAATATCCTTGTCTGTGCTGCTGTGGAATTTATGTGTTTGAATGTTGAGTGTCTGGTTAGATTTCATTTCAAAATCAGTTTTGTAATAACATTGTAATGAACCTATTGGTTTGGCCATATTTCTTTCTAAGGGATTTTGTTTGTTCGTAGACAATTGCTAGACTGGTAACTTTTTTGTTAGCTAGCCATTGCCTAACAACAACAACAACTTGAATACAAAAGCTGCACCTGTTTATGCAAATCTGATAATTGGCCACACTTGCAAATACTCTCTGCATAATGTTGGCTTGCAAAGTACTTGAAGTTTTAGAGTTTGGTTTTGAGAACTAGGTTTAATTTTTTTAAAAAAAAAAACTGTCACTTGAATTTTAAAAGAAATTGTGACAATGGTTTTCCAAATGTTCACTGTCTAGCACTGCCCCCTGCAGATTCTTCTATCTGTATCTTTGGAATCAAGACATACAGTATAATCTTACGCACTTCTATTTAACACCACATTTCATTAGGTTCACTGAACTTTATTCCTAGGTAAGAACAGAAAGCAAAAGTTACTTAGTTCGGATTATAATACAAAACAACTGAAATCATTAGCCCAAAGAAAGTTATCCTTCAGTTCCCACACTTAGCTGGATTTTGTGATGGAATTTTCTAGTAAAAAATATGTAAAGAAATGTAGATTTGGGAAACTGCTTGCAAAAAGGTAAATCAGGGAAATTGTCTAAAATATATACAGTGGTGCCTCGCTTAACGAGCGCACCGTACAATGATGAAATCACATAGCGATCCTTTTTTTGGGATCACTAATGCGATTGGTCAACGTTTTTTTAATAGGGCAAAATTCGCTTTGCGAAGACCGGTAAGCGTTTCGCTTACCGATCTTTGCAAAACGAAGCCCGACGATCAGCTGTTAGGTGGCCAAAAATGGCCGCCGGAAGCCCGGAAATGGCCCAAAATGGCCGTGCGCATTGTTTTCGCGCCCTCGTTAAGTGAGGGGAGGGCACGAAAATGGCTGCCGGCCATTAAGAAGCATCGCTGAACGGTGAGTATTCGGCCCATTTGGAACGCATTAAACCATGTTTAATGCGTTCCAATGGAATTCCCTGCCCCGTTCAACGATGCTTCAGCATAGCAAAGGTTAATCCAGAATGGATTAACCTCGCTATGCGAGGCGACTTCTGAGTAGGATGGTTTACAAGGCATAAAAATGGATCTTTTAAAAAATTGCATGCTGATGCAAAAATGGGAAGAATGCACTTGTGCTTAAAAATGTCAAAGTTACAGAAAGCAAATATCTTTCATGCTCCTAAAAATTATGTATAGGATTTGCAGTCTAATTGTACATGTGGAGCCAGTTCCTGTGCATTTGGTAAAGAAATTTATTCATGGAAGGTACATATTTTTCATGGATCAGCTTTTAATCAAAAATAAACTTGAAAGATGCTGTTTGTGATTGACCAAAATGTTGAACAAAAGATCATTATGAATTGTTTGGAATTCTCTTAAAGAGAAAAATACTTGCAGCATTTCACTAGAGAGTCATAGTCTGAAATACTCCAGAAATTTAAATAAAATCAGATTGTTCCTGTTAGGTTGATATGGGTATTCAGCAAAGCTGGAAAGGTGGAAAGTGGGAGAAAAGGTGTTGTGTGTTCTTTAAGTGTAAGAGTATATTGCTAAAATGTGCTGATCATGCATATCCTTGCCCTCCCCCCTGAAGAAAATAGATATCTCTTGTGGGATTACACAAGATGGACTCTGATACAACCAAAATTAACTTCCTAATTTCTTCTGAAATAAGACAATATTCAAGAAAATCTTTCTGGTGTCAGGAAGAGAAGAGGGAAAGGAAGTGAGCTTTATCTTGGGGGGACTTCTGAGTAGGATGGTTTACAAAAGAGATTAACTGCATATCCAGTTTTCATGTGGTTTACATGTCCCTCTGAACTCTCTTTTCCTTATGACACCTTAATCCCTGCAGAAGTGGAGGTGGGGAGTGTTATTTGTATATACGGACACTCTGAAGACCACAGCAAGTCTCTCCTTGACTGCTCTGTGAACAGGAGAGTTCTCTCAGAAGAAGAACTCAATCCAGATAGCTAAAGTGGTCGAAATGACTAGATAGGTGGGGTATAAATACAATAAATAAATAAATAAATAAAATAAAGTGAGAGACAAAGACTGCGTAGTTTAAGAGTTAAACACAGATTGAGATTCTTAAATGTTAATCTAAAACATGAAGCTAGCTTGCAAACAATTTGTTCACCCTGCCCCTATCTTCTAAACCTGGCATTATCCTGGCTAAGTGAAAGATAAAAGACAGATGTTATAAGCATAAATTGATTATCCATGTGGACTATAATAATGCTGTAATTCTGTGGTATTTTGTGGAACAGCCGATGATTGGCTGAATCTGGCGAAAGCCTGCAAATAAACTAATCAACTTGGAAGATGGGTGGTTTTGACAAGGGTGAGTCACTGCCACCTCTCCATCTGTGGCTGGTTGTTTCTGCAACCTAGTTCTTGTTCAGGTCGCTATGGAAAGAACAGTGAAAGAACTGAGCAGCAGGGATGGTATTATTTTATATTTATATTTACATATGCAATTACACATCCGTTTTCACTTGCATTCAGTTTTGAATCAAAGAAAGAGATCACAGTGATTACATGCATTAAGCTCTTGGTGTACATAGCTTATTTTGATCTTGATTCTGAAGGCATGTCTCAATGAAAACAACATGGAAATAGCTATCCTGTAGTTGCGGACTTGATGTTGTGAATTGTGATCTATGGAACAATCTGAGATTAATAGGTGATCAGTGGAACTTCAACTCAACAGATATGACTGAAGTAGGCAGCTTTTCAATCCTTCTGTTTGAGGTAATAGGCATTATTTCATACACAGAAAGAACTGGATTATACTGAATTATATAACCACTGCAATTCTTAATCTGAATGTCACAAATCTGGTATATTGTAGTTCCTACCTTGGAAACAGGAATTGTTGTAAGTTTTATGTCACCTTTCAAACCATCTAGAATTTTTTTCCCCACTCTGTTGGGGTCTCTGAATTTTCTCACCAGTGGAAAACAAAATGTTAATCAAGCACAACATGAAAAGGAGAAAGAGGAAATTATCTCTTGAACTGACTTGATAAAACGCAGGGAAGCTGTGATTCCCCCTGCCCTTGCCCGCTTTTGGAAAGAAACATCTCTGAAGTGCATCTTTGTTCGTGGGTGGGGGCAGTCCTCTGAAGAAACATCTCTGAAGTGCAAAACAGTTCAACCTTGGGAGAACTGCAGAGTTGCATGAAACTATGTGGGTGCTCTGAAGCAATTAAGCTTCATACCATTACCATATATCTTTGAAAAACAGTACAGTGTCAGAAGAAAACCTTTTCTGTCCACAGATTTGGAAGAGGAGCCCCACTGGAGGCTCTGATTTTAAAATAAATTGATTTTAATTGATTAAACAAACAAACAAATAAATAAATAAATATCCTGCCCTTTCTGCAGTGAGCTCACGGCCTTCTGTATAGCTTTCCTGATTGCCACTTTCTCCTCATGATAACCCAATGAGCCAAGTCAGGCTAAGAAACAGTAACAGGAGTTGACGCGTTCAATATATAAATCGGGGTCCAATGGAATCCATGAATGCTCTGAAACCTTGTCTTCTGTTCTAGTTCACTGTTGTGTGTTGTCCTTATCAGCCAGCACCTGCAT